CACACACACACGTGCTCCTGTCTGTTACTGACCCTTCACACTCCACACACACACACGTGTGCTTCTGTCTGTTACTGACCATTAAAATCAGGGGGGACAAGTATTTGCACAAGTTCAGGTTTAAAAGAAGATGCTGTCTGGTTTGCAAGAAAGTCACTTCCTTTGTGGGAATGTCCCAGCATTGTCTGTGTGCCAGGAGCTGCAGACTAGATGATGCAATTAGAAGGAAGGAGTCACTTTCTGAGAGGTGCAGTTTCTTTCTCAGATTGAATACGTCCTCAGACCCACACAAGCAGGCACACCCAGCCTCATGCACAAGCAGACACCTTCAAAGGCGATGTGAAATGAGAGGGTGGTACAGGAATGGCGCATTTGCCAGGACATGTGTGCGTGCTGTGTTGTGGCCTGTTTTCGTGGAGACAGGACAGCAGCATGCAATCGCCCTCCCTCCCCTCTCCCCCTCAAGTCTCTATTTTTAGACAGTGGGGTGTGTGTAGCGCACAGGACTACCAACTTCCCTGGGGGCGGGGCTGCAGCAGGGCCTGGCAAAGATACCCACTGATACCCACCGTCACCCTGCCTGCCCCCTTGCAGCACAGACGCGGAACCAAGAGGCCCAGCTCAGAGCGCACACGTTAAAAATAGACAAAGGCCCTGGCCAGGCCTCAGCTGGAATAAAGACGGACAGGCCTATTCTAAGGGTGGGACAAAGGAGAGAGTCCAGGCTAATTCCTGGTATGAAGGCCACGGTGATCCAGGGATGAAGCAAAGATCCCAAGTCTTGTGTTGTCTAAGAGTTGAAAGGATCTTGAGCAAGTCAATCTTGGGGGCATCTTACAAAAAACAGGAGACTCTCCTTTACACTGAGAGAGGTGGGGGTCTGAAAATCAGTCACCCAGCCACACAAGGTTTGAGGGAAAGGAAAGGAGCACAGAATGAAACTTGGGGAAGAGAAGTGGGATAGATGGAGTGAGAAAGGGTGGGAGCACTGGCCTGCATTCGGGGAATGTCAGCTCATTATCAGGAACACATGAAAGAGTGTTGGGTTTCACTGGTCTGTACGGCCCAGAGGAGTAGGAGGGGGCAGTTAAGGAAAACATTCTGCAATACCAGCTGCACCATCTGTGCTTCTACTGCTCAGAGTGGGGGGAGGGAGTTCTGAGCCACTTGGAGTCTGTAAACAGATTCACAGCGTCAGTGTCTCTGTAGGGCCGGTGTACAGCGTCAGTGTCT